AATTTTTATCAGTGTAGGACAACGTGGCATTTCCCAGAATTTTGTAAGAATTGCTTGAAATTTTGCTATACGTTTCACTAATAATTATACTTCCAATTAGTATACATTACTACACTGAAAAACATGTCCGATTAAATATAATCGGATAATTGTTTTACATATTTACTAATAATTATATTTAGTATACGTTCTACTAGTAGAAAATTGGAAAAAACTCGCATAAAGGTTTTTACAATGTCCCACGATTACGTGACTTTACTAGTAAGACGTATAGTAAAAATTCCCAAAACTCTCAAAGTTCCTCAAAATGCCACGTTGTCCCACGATCACATGATTACCAGGGCGAGTCTTCGGGACAAGTAAAAGAAAATTCTCTCCGCGTGCAGATTAATTTCCTCTTCAGCCAGAAAACATATCGCACAACGATTAAGCTCATAAGATTAGCATACCTTTCAAAAATAACGATTGAGCAACCTTCAGGTAATCCTCGGTACGTTCGTGTAACCCGAGTAATCCACTAATTCGTGTTTCAATCTCCCACGCTGGAGCTTGTATCAATAATCTCTCTTATCGTAACTATCCGCACAAATTGCGAAGATTAATTATTTCTCGGGGCAATTAATCATTAAGGATCGATGGCGCATACGTCCGACGGTGCATTGGGTCGAGCGGTTCTCACGGTGAAGCGTGTCTCGCTGATTTGCAAGAAATTCCCGTCTCCCGTGAAACAGGTGGGTATTCGCGTAATCTCGGAGAAGGATACTCGGGGCCGGCGCGACGAAATGTCATCCCCTTGCGACACCCTCTCCCCGTGGCCCACACGAACCGCGGTGGCAGGCGAGGGATACGAGGAGACGCGGTAGGCCGCGGCTAACGTGTCGAACGACGTACGCAAACCACGTGGGCAGAGACTAATAGCTGTCCGTGAACAGCGGATCGTTGCGAGCGCGATCGCGCAGACGAGGGGGGGGAGCGTATATCTGCGATACCGTGTCGGGTAATCTCGATACCGATAGCGCCGTACACGCTTCGCTGCCGCGCGATTAATGCCCGCCGTCGCCGTCTAGGACGATACGGCCGGGGTGTAAGCGGCCGTGGTCTCCTGCTCCACGAGTCATGCTCGAGTTAGCTATCGATATTTAAGAGACGATTCAAACCGGCGACTTGACGTCAAACGACGTCACGCTTACGTAAGTCTGCGCGTTCGTCTTAATTAAACGAGGTGGGGAAGTAAATACATTATTAAGCCGAACTTCGCCGGAGTTTCCGTTGGATAACTGCAACATTTCTACTGGAACTACTCTAACTTTTCTCCTCCTCATCGCGGGCGGGATTTCTCGGATTATTATCAGATATTACCGGGCGTACGAAGAGGAGAGAAGGTGCAACGTGAAATATTGATAAAATAAGTGAGAGACTTTTCCGATCGACGTGGAGAACGTTTTATATCGTATCTATTATGTATCTCGACTTTTCCTTCTTTAGTGCGTAGGGGCCGATATTCTAAGCAACTTTCCGCTACTATTTACTCCAAGTTAAACAAAAGAGAAGCTCACCGGCACCTTCCCGTTGGCGTTCTTGGCGTCATTGTTCTCCAACAGCGGCGCGCTGCTACTCTTCCCGCCCATTTCCACGGCCAGGGGTTCCGGCTTCAGCTGGAGACTCGCCGCGGACGGGGAAGACGGCGCTCGGGGCGGCGTTTCGAGAAGCTCGCCCGAGCTCAAGGAACTGCTCGCAGTGGTGGACAAGCCTGTTGCAGAAGAAGAATAGTCGAGCGGCTAGATTAGAATTTATAACGCGCAGAAATAAACTATCGCGGAGCGTATCGTCCAACTTGAAACTCTTCGAGACTGGTCTCGTCCGGAACGAGTTTTCCAAATAAATGATTCGTATTTATTTACGCTTATGCGCATTATTGCGCCGCGCGTAACAAGGGGACGTAAAAATGACCGGCTTGGCATCGCGCGTAGGTGGTACACTCGTATAGATACGCCGACGTGACTCACATAGCGGTAAATTCGTAGGCCTGGGCGTCCTGATCCTCGGCAACGAGTCGTCGAGGCCGCTACTGCTGTCCACCGCGTCCTGCGAGTACTGATCGTCCATCTGTTTCGTTTGCGTGTGCACGCTCTCGCGTTTGACCCACACGTCCTGCGAGTTCTTGTCGTTTCGCGAATTCAGTTTCGACGGCCGTCGCCGGATCCGCTCCCATGTCTCTTTGCGATGACACTTGCTCGGCGTCGACGCTACGTGAGAGAAAGGTGCGTCGAGATTTTCACAAATATACCGGTCCTTGTGTAATACTGAATAGTTCTTAAGGGCGTAAGACAAAAGTTGTTCATATTAATTAGTAGAACAAGATAGTATAATAAGCAATAGGGGGTTCCATGAAAAAAATTGATGGCGACCTTCACGTGACCTTCGAGCAACTATTCAAGGTCACATTAGTGACACCATCTCATGTCCCCCCTGGAACCAAACAACTTTTGTCTGAAACATTTTGTTCTCAAATTAAAATCAAGTAAGTTGTTAGGGCTGGTAAATTAAAATGACTCCCCCTGTATATTGTACGACCGATGAAAGAATCTTTTTAGGAAATACGTTGTCATCGTAGATATACGCGGTTATAAGCCATAAATTTTTGATCGATAAGAAAAAGAAACTGGTACTTTAATCTCTGAATGTAAAGGAAGATATAAAAATGGCAATCTGATTTTAAAAAAATTATCGATATTCACGAAAAGCTAGATGATTCTGGCTTACGTTTAGTCAATCGTCGATCCGTACTCCTGGGCGGACTCGCTGTCCCGATCCCGCTTTCAAGCGGAGATGCTCTGTCGGTGGTATCCGGCGACAAACTTCCGGAAGAAATCTCGTCCATGCTCTGCAGGAGATCTTGAGACGACGACGAGGATCTATTGTCGTCGTCCACGGTGTCTTGCGGGGAAACTGGATCTAAGGTGCTCTCATCTTGCAACGACTGCGAATCTAACTGGGACTCGGCTGTGATGAAGAAATACGTAAGTTGAAAAAGTTACATATATGACAGTAATCCTGTATAAATTATTAATTGAAATGTTTACGCCAAGTTCTCTAAAACTGCTTTGCCGCATGATAGTTTTACAAATATTATTTTGCATTTTTTAAATATTCGTCGATAATTGTTACAAAGCTATTATAGAAATAAAATTGTTTCAAGTATATATTTCTACATTAGTAATTAATTAACAAAATCATTTAATTTATTAATAAAGGACAAATATATACGTCTGTTTATTTTCTATTAATTTTACATCGTACAAAAATGTCTCCATCAGAAGAGACCAAAGATAAACTCTAAAGTTACAACATGCTATTCAAAGGTAGAAACACACCCAAACAGATATAATTTTAAGAGACTCGAAAGGTCAATAGAGAGTTAAGTTCAACGTAAATCATCGATAAACTCTTGTAATAGCCACTTACTGGATTACGGAGAACCGGAACGGAAATAAATTTCACGGGCGTTAACTAATCTCATGAATATATATTAAGCGGGCCATGTAAGCAACGTGGGTTGATACGAATATTACCTTGAGGAGAGTCGCAATCGCTGACCCAGGTGAAGCTGGAGCTTCTCGAAATCGCCGGTGAAGTTTGGGTCGCTATGTCGGAGCAGGTGAGAGTGTCCATCGGCGGGCTATTTGGGCAACAAGAACCCGAGCCACTTCGTATTCTCGACAACAAGGACTGCAGAGAAATAGGCAACTACGAACAGCAACATAAATTAGTTAGACTTCGTCTTTCGATCGCTCGTGATTTTCTTGCAAACGCGAGAACAAAACGGCTTCGTATTTTAATGCTGCCTCCGGATATTCTTTTCAACCAATGTTTGCGAATTTAATGTTGCGATGGACAATACCGAGCTAACAATTAAATTCAAACATTTGATTTTTGTTAAATAATTATTTAAGCTTGGAAATATTTAATTGTTAAAAATTGAATATAATTGACCGATTAAATATTTATATATATTAATAATCGTTTAAATGTATTTTCTGATTATAATTCTCTGAATTTATATTTTATCGAGACGTTGTACATGTTACAATGCAAATAAACTGATGCATAATTCATTCTCTGTAATTTCACGTCGGCGGAATATAATTAGCTGTTAGAAATCGATATAAAACTTACGGATCCCGTTTTCGCGCTTTGCTCCTCCATAATCCTCTTCACGTCGGCGTGCCCGAGCCTGCCGAGGGTTCCGTTCTCGATCCCGCAATTTCCATTGACGTCACCGTTCTCGGACAAGTCGCAATTCACCGCAACGTCGTTGCCCCAGGTTCGCGTCAACGAGAATTTCTTCAAGTCCACCGGGCTGACTCGCCTGATATCTCTGTCCGATTCCGACAATCTCTTCGCCGTGACATCGGAACGTAGAGTCAGCGGCGACATCGCCCTCTTTTTTCGGAGCAACGTTTCTTTCGACTTGGCCTTGTCACTCTTCGTCTCGTGGAGCCTGTCGTTTCTCAGGCGCAGCATATCTTGATCCGGCAGCGAGGACACGCTGACCAGGATAACGTCGTCGGAGCTCTCGTGAAACACCGGGGTGTGCCGTTTCCGCAATAATTTCGCGAATGGCGGCTTCTTCTCCTCCGTGGGCGTCACAGGCGCCGACTTCGGGACGTGATTGTCCAACGATTTAGATCTGCCGGTTTCCTCGTTCGGAAACACGTAGTCGTAATCGGGATCCATGGCCTCTTGGTCGTCAGAGCCTCGTCGGAGTCTCTGCAGTCGCATCGCCTTTCGACGCTTTTGGTTCGTTAGAATGATGGGAAGACTGGTCTTTCTCTCGGATCGTTGTCGCGGCGGTAATCTCGCGTTCGCCTCCTCGGGGTCCTCCCCGGCGCGTCCGGGCGATCCGGCTTGGAGCGCGTCCACGTTGGCGTCTTCATTGGTCCTCGAACTTAATCCTACGGGTGTCTTTGGTGCATGGCAAGGATTCGATCGTGTGTCTTTCGAGATGCATTCACGCTCCAACTTGGACGGTAGACTAGAGGTGATCCTATCGATTTGGTTCCTGATCGAGCTTATCGGCAGGCAGTTGCTGGGCTCGTCGTAGTCGGAGCTCAGGGTCTCCGCGGTATGAAATCGGCCGCGCTTCTCAACGATGCCCTGGAGATTCTCGGGCAGGCTGCCGCTCTTCCTTCCCTCGGGAAGGACTCGGTCGTGAGGCTCGTCGTAATCGGAATTCAGCAGGCAGCGACGATCGTCGTCGACGAACAGTTTCCCGTTCCTGCGGTCTCGCAGACTCTTCTCGTCTCTGGGAGAGCCGTGTACACCGCCGAACAACTCCCGATCGGAGCACTCGCTGTCTGATATCCCGAATTCGTTCAGCAGCTCTTTGTATTGTACCACTCTGTCGCCGTCGTCGCTACGCACGGCTTCCCTCCTCGTCTTCTCTTTGGTAAGCTCGTTGATCTCGTTGGCGATTATGCTATTGAACTCCGCGAGGATGCTGTTCGACCACTCGCCGATATCCTCGCCGCCTCTCGTCAATGAGTTTTGCCTCCTTACGAAACCGTGCGACTTCGCGGGCAAATCCTTCGGGGCAAACGAGTCGTTCGTGCAGCTCGACAATTTTTCGGCCGGAGTCGAGTGCTTTGTCTCTTTTACGACGTGGAGCGGAGTCGTTGGAGCTGATTCGATTATCTCGCCGATTTCCTCCTGCAAGCAATCGGAAATTCAAAGCGTTTAAAACATTACATTGCCTTTTCACTAAGAGGTAGTTTCTTTTTGCAAAGCGTAATATAGCCCAGTGAATGGAATATAATACCATATGTGCTACGTAATTCAACGAGTCAGCTGAGGAAGAAGTTTCATTGAAAGTCATCGTCGTTTAAACATAGAGGCTGTCTCGCGATCGATGAGGCTAGAGAGAATTGCAAAATTCTATCGGCGATAGATAGGTTACTACCTTTGCGCGGATACCCCGCGCGTACAGTTAGCCAGTGGAACGCATTTATAAAGTGGCGCGTAATGAAGCGGTTACGAGAGAGGCTGACAGTACCAACGCGGTCCTCGATGCTCGTCATGCGAGATAAAACGAAGGAATCGGCCAGCTGCCGCGACTCAAGACGAGCCGATTTCAAGACGCATTCTCCCTCTTTCTCTCCTGCCTTCTTGTTCTATTTATCTATCAATCGCGTCTTCCTTCTTTAAAGCGCGTGAACGTTGTGAAGCATGTGTGCACCCTAAGCAGGGCTGCGGTGAAACGCGGTTAATACTCTAAGAGGAGCTAAAGTATGTACCTATACAAGATTTATGTGCGCTTGCAATTAGGTAGAAATATTATATAAGAAAATAGAGCCGATTGAACTCTTTTCATTTGACTAATGAACTGGATGAAAATTGATCTTCGTATTTATCTTTGACGCTCAGAACAATTAACTCGGACTTGCGTTCCAAATATTCGCTGAAATTGAAACATTCGACGACGATGCAAGAAATATTCCGCGAGACGTCACAATTTATGTGACACGTGACACCTCAGCTCTAAATGATAATGCGTTAAAATTCGCAAAGTCTCGGAGCAGACCCTGACTGGCCCTCCTGCGCCGCACAGGCGGACTAAATTGAATTTGCATAAGTCTCCCGACGCAGCTCCGCCCACGCGATCTCGATCTACGCACGAGACAATCGCGAGACCAGACGAGACCAACCGGACGCCTCGGTCTCGTCGATCGATGTATCAAATTATACCGGATGGAAAGAACAGGCTTGATTAAACCGAGGATGTTAAGACGATTTGCGACCCAATCGAAAACTCTCGGACGCATCGAAGACTAAAATTAAGAAATGACAAGTAAAATGACGGGAAAATTAAGGAGGCAAGTATCTTCGGACATAGTCTTTAAGAGTTGGAAAACAATTATCGAGACTCGCAGAGTGCGCGAGAGGAGGAACGTGGGAGTCTCAGACCGCAACGACGCGAGAGGCAATGGTGCACTGCGCGTACCTACGAGTGAACAAAATTTATAGGCTGCCGTGCGTATTTGGTATGCAAACCGTCGACGCGAGTAGTTAGCTTAGCCGGCGGACTTGGCGAGACTCATCAAGACTTGCGGCGCAACGTCGGCGCGTAAGACGAAGAGCCGCCAAGATAAGACGGGGGGGAGAAACGGGGAAAAGGGAGGAGCTCTCGAGGAGCTATCCGGCCGGTACGATTGCATCCAGCTGGGCGATCAATCATCGTGCACGAGCTTCCTATTGTTCCTACGCGGGTGTTACATTGTGCACCGCGGGCTAATGACCGCCTTGCGGAGGATACCGGGATATAATTGTCTCGGACGTGTCAACCCGTTTACTATCGGCGACTAATCTCGCGGCTTTCGTGCACCTTGATCTATCTTCGGGGGCTGAGTCTAGCCCAACAGGTTAATCCTGACGTCAGTGGATACGCTCATAATGTAATTGCAAACTCGCCGCGGGAATAATCCGGCCGTGACCGTTAACAAGTACATTCGAAAGCCTGATGTTCGTTGTACCAATTTGCCGTGGGAGAATGAGTCATACGTGTTGCAAAGGTGAGTATATTAGAGCGAGACACAGACTGTTACAAGTTGAAAATTTTTAATTAAAAACATTAATTTTTGCGGTTGCAGGTGTCAAGTTACATTTGTTATAAAACTAAAAAATGCAGAGAGCATTACTCACATATTTGGTATCAGTTTAATAATATTAATTGCGATGTGTAATACATTGCAAGATATTAAGCAATATGTTAATTGAGGTATCAATTTTTACTCACGCGGAAAAAGGAATGATGTATCAACGAGATCAGTGTAATTGAAATAAAATCGTCGGAGCAACGTCAGTATTAATAAATGAAAAACATCAGATTGTTGCCTTAATAATCTGGATATTCAGTCCTATGCTTAAAATATTTAAATCCATAGCGAGTACAATTGAGTGAATTATTTATGTTTGTGGCAGCCCGTGAACGTTTAATTCAAGCAACCTCATTTTGCTTAGTTCAACAGCATTTGTTTTCCCGTGCAGTAATGTAAATTCTTGTGGTTGAAAATTTTCTTTCTTTTTTACAATACTGAGATAGAGAGAAATAGAGAGAGAGCGTTCTTTATATTTTTTTCGTAAAGCATTATTATTATATCGTTTCTATTCCGTCAAATATCACAAGCTATTTCTGGAAGCACCGTTCTGACGGGCGCGTTAGCAAAGCGACAAGTTTCTCACTCGTCCCGCCCGATTGTTCACGCGAATCTTAATCGCAATAATTGTTGATGGATCGAGCGCAACGTTTCCGTCGAAGGACGCGGAAACGCGTTCGTGAATCGTCTTGATTGGGATCGCGTTTAATCTCCGCTCTCTCGCTACGCCTACAATAGCGCACGCGGCCATCGCCGCGATCGCCGCGATCGCCATGTGCCATTCTAATATTCTCCATCCATAACGCCCCGGCTGGTACATTTATCAAGACGATATTTATGTGAAAGCACGCACGTCGCGCTTTTAGCGGCGCACTTTCTTCCTACTCGAGATAGCTCTCGTGGCGCAATGATTAGACGAGCGCGTCTGGAAAATTTTCTCTCGCCTCCGCGTAGGCCGACCGCTGATGATAACGACAATCAGCGAGATTGACGTTGCTGGAAGACAATAAATTAACGCGCGCCGACCACCGATTTGCTGTCGTATTGATGGCGAAAATCGTTCAGCGAAAACGTTACTTGCAGCAAACTTGCAGACTTTAAATAATAAATTAATCATTTACTCATGAATATATAAATGCAAATATAAATAATATAAGTATAATTGCTCATAAGTATGACGATAAAAACATGTAATTTTCTGTTCCTATCATTATTTGACAGGTAAAAAGTACAATTTGCACGTTAAGATAATAACGACATATTTGTATAAAAATAAAATTCTTCTAGACATAAACGAGAGAGAGAGAGAGAGGATCAGAATCAGAATCATTATTTATTACACGCTATGGGACAAGTCCCCTAAAGAATGAGAGAGAGAGAGAGTTTCTCAGTTAATAATTATTCATAATAATTATAGAACTCCGAATCGATCATTTGCCTGTCAAACTCTTAATTTGTTGCTAAAGGAATTAATTAGCGAATGAAATGACGCGGAAACGACCTTTCAAACGTGCAGTTTCACTGCGTAATGCGTATCGCGCCTAACATCTTCTTGAAAGTGAGAACAGTCGTCAACTCGCTCGGGTAACAAAAAATTTCGATAAAATATCGGCGTCATTCATTAAGCAAAGGAGCTTGTCGTACGTCAAAGTATCTGTCGAGTGCGGCTAACATAGGTACATGCCGACAGTTCCCGACAGAATTAATATTTAAATTGGAGCTTAAATCTTGGTATTTCTACTGAAGCAATAAACAAGTTTAAGATATATTTATGACGTCGACCAGTCTAGTTAATATTTTCGATTCCTTCGTCTTCCCTCAAAATATACAATTGTTATTACAGCACTGGGTATGAAATTATTAGTTTCCAAGAAGAATAACGTTGCATCGCATAAGAAAACTTCTAAAGTTAGTCAATATTTGAGCTAACCAGTTCATAAATTTTAACGTGACACGAGAAATTTGTTTATTAATTTTCTTAAATATCAACTAATTTAGAAATAGATACTAGTTTGAGTTTCAAATTGTTCTTGCGAACTTAAAATATTTTCATTTAACAGCAGAATATACAAGATCAAAGTTTTAAATATAAAATTTTTTTTAATTTTAATTAAATTAATTTCTTCGCATATACAAGTGGGACATTGCATGAGAAAAGTCTAAAATAGTGAATATATGTTCAGATGTAAAAGGTATTAATTGGCGCAGGTTATGTGACAATATATATATCACTTTAGCGTGCGATAGTTTCGTCCATCGTGCGATAATTGACTCGAAACTTAATTAAGCGCTGACCGGAGAAGTTTGAGAATCTCTCAGTGATTATAAGGGATGATCAGATGGAATTGAAGCAACGTTTTAATCATCTTATAAACTGCATCTCATGGCCGAGTGCATTTCACTTTGGGAAATCGATCGCATGAATCTGACAATTAGCATATCAACGATTTTGTGTTATGCTCGCGCGTGCCACTTAATCCACCTGCAGTCACCAAGCTGGCTAATTAATTGCAGTGATTGCTAATTAATGTCGCCACATAAATCAAGTGAAATTCAGCAGTAAACAGTTCCCGAAATCGAACTTAAACCAATTGCGTGATAATCAACACAATTTGTAATACCGTTTCGCCGTTTGGTCCAGAAACCCTAGTCAGGCCTTTTTTCCTGATAACAATACACATATAAAAATACGGTGTTAATTAATTCTCAACCGCATTTGATACGTTAATACGAGGGATTACTATGATATTAAATACGCGAAGCTTAATATCTGTGCGCCAGATGAAATGTGACCTATCGATCGGATAGAAATTACTATTTACGCGTTGATCAACCCGTTCTACTGATCCTATCTGATCTTCTCACATATTTGTCGGATAGCTCGGGAATTCTACTAGTTGGCTCTTAATTAATTTTCCGTGACGATCATAATATTTTATGTCGTCATATTATCGGCCATGAATTTCTCACTTCGTTTCGCCTCGATTACCGACTCTCCCTCTTTCTCTCTGTATCGATATATAATAACATTAATCTAATAGCTAATAGAAACACCGA